TTCTAGAATATGATGGATAATTATTATTCCTACCTGTAATCTTAGGCATTTAAATGTAAAATACAGCTGTAGTAAGTTTGTTTGAATTATAACAAAAAGCAAGTGCACAGTCTATGTGATATTTTATTTTGTTTTTTAATTGAAGTATAGTTGACACATAGTGTTACATTAATTTCAGGTGTACAACATAGTGACTCAACATCTTTATATGTTATACTATGCTCACCACAAGCATAGCTACCGTCTGTCTCTATACATCACTGTTATAGTATCATTGACTATATTCTTTATTCTATACCTTTTATTCTCATGATTTATTCATTCCGTAACAAGAAGCCTGTATCTCCCACTTCTCTTCTGTATCCCAATTTTCCACCTTCTTTCTCTCTGAGAATCAATAGTTTGTTCTCTGTGTTTATGAATCTATTCCTATATTTGTTTGTTCACTTGTTTTCTTTTTTAGATTCCATATATAAGTGAGATTATATGGTATTTTTCTTTCTCTTAGTTCACCTAGAATAATCCCCTATAGGTCCATCCATGTTGTCAAAAATGGCAAGATCTCATTCTTTTTAATGGCTGAGTAATATTCCATTAAATGTATACACAACATCTTCTTTATCCATTCATCTGTCGGTAGACACTTGGATTGCTTCCTTATCTTGGCTATTGTAAGCAATGCTGCAATAAACATTGGGGTGCATATGTCTCTTCAAATTGGTGTTTTCATCTCCTTTGGGTAAATACCTAGTAGTTGAATTACTAGATCATGTGGTATTCCGGTTTTTAATTTTTTAAGTAAGCTCAATACTGTTTTCCACAGTGGCTGCACCAATTTACATTCTCACCAACAGTGCATATGAGTTCTGTTTTCTTCATATCCTCACCAGCACTTGTTATTTCTTGTCTTTTGTATACTAGCCATTCTGACAGGTGTGAGGTGATATCTCATTGTGGTTTTGATTTGCATTTTTTTGATTATTAGTGATGTTGAACATCTTTTCATGTATCTCTTGACCATCTGGATGCCCTCTCTGGAAAAAATATCTATTTAGGTTTCCTGCCCATTTCTTTTTTTATTTTTATTTTTTAACGTTTATTAAGACAGAGACAGAGACAGAGCATGAGTGGGGAAGGGACGGAGAGACAGAAAAAGAGAATCCAAAGCAGGCTCCAGGCTCCGAGCTGTCAGCACAGAGACAAATGCAGGGCTCAAAGTCACGAACCATGAGATCATGAACTGAGCCAAAGTTGGACGCTTAACAGACTGAGCCACCCAGGTGCCCCCCTGCACACCCCCCAACATTTCTTAATCAGATGATGATGATGATGGGTGTTGAGTCATATAAGTTCTTCATATATTTTAGATATTAGCCCCTTATTGGATATGCCATTTGCCCATATCTTCTACAATTCAGTACATTGTCTTTTCATTTTATCAATGATTTCCTTTATATGCAAAACCTTTTTATTTTGGTGCAGTTCCAATAGTTTATTTTTGCTTTTGTTTCCCTTGCCAGAGAAGACATTTCTAGAAAAATGTTGCTAGGGCCCATGTGAAAGAGATTACTGCCTATGTTGTTTTTCTAGGAGCTTTATAGTTTCAGGTTTCACATGTAGGTGTTTAATACACTTTGAGCTTATTTTTGTCTATGGTGTAAGAAAGTTGTCCAGCTTCATTCCTTTGCATGTAGCTGTCCAGCTTTCCTGGCACCATTTATTGAAGGGACTATCTTTCCCCATTGTCTATGCTTGCCTCCTTTATTATAGATTAATTGACCATACAATTTTGGGTTTATTTCTAGGTTTTCTATTTTGTTCCACTGATCTTTGTGTCTGTTTTAGTGCCAGTACCATACTGTTTTGGTTATTATAGCTTTGTAGTATGTCTTGAAACCTGGAGATTGTGATATCTCCAGTTTTGTTTTTCTTTCTCAAGATTGGCTTGGCTACTCAGGGTCTTTTGTGGTTCCATGCTAATTTTAGGATTACTTGTTCTGGTTCTGTGAGAAATTCTATTGGTATTTTGATAGGGATTGCACTGAATCTGTAGATTGCTTTAGGTTATGGGCATTTTAACAATATTAATTCTTCCAGTCTATATTCTGAAAACGACAAAAAAATTAGTGAAAGAAATTGAAGATGACACAAACAAATAGAGGATATTCTTTGCTCATGGACTGAAAGTCTATATGACCTTTCAAAAGACTAACCTGTAGGGACACCTGGGTGGCTCAGTCAGTTAAGCCTCTGACTTCGGCTCAGGTCATGATCTTACAGTCCATGACTTCCAGCCCTGTGTCGGGCTCTGTGCTGACAGCTCAGAGCCTGGAGCCTCTTTCAGATTCTGCCTCTCTCTCTCTCTCTCTCTCTCTCTCTCTCTCTCTTTCTCTCTCTCTCTCTCTGCAACTGCCCCACTCACACACACTCTCTCTGTCTCTCTCTCTCTCTGTATCTCAAGAATAAATACACATTAAAAAATTAAAAAAAAAAAAGACTAACCTGTAAACATGAGCCTCTCAGGTTTAAAAAGCAAGGGAATGACATGCAAATATCAGCATTCTTAGAGATGGTACTTGGAAATCAGTTTGAAGAATGGACAGGAAGCAGTGAGAGTCATCAGTGATTCTAGAATCACTTAAAAGGTTTTTTGAAGTACATGTTTATGAAAATCTGATGCCCAGATTTTCAGGTGTGCAACGTAGTGATTGTTGTGATGAGCATGCCTGCTGGTCCAGGGAACACACTTTGAGAACTATCGTACTAGATTTGGGAGACTACTTCAAAAATTTTTGCACTGATCTATGTGAGATATAACATAGATATAAATGCTGACAATAGAGTTGACGAGGAAGGGTTGGTTCCAAAGATATGAAAGGAGTTATGATTGACAGGACTTGTTAAGAGACCAGAGTATACAGATGAAGTAGAGGTAAGTGTCTAGATTGATTTCTAGATTTCTAACTTTAGTAGGTAGATGGAAAATGGTGGTACCTTTATCGCAACATATGGAATAAAAGAGGAGAAGATAGAATGGTTTGGGGGTGGAACTGATGATGAGTTTGGTTTTAAACACATCCAATGGAAATTTATGTGCAGATATCTGTTAGGAAAGTGGAATAGTGTAAAATTGGGGATACAGTTACAAGAATGAAGTTATAAGTGCGGGCAGGTACATCTCTAGAAGAGAAATCATAGGTATAAAGTGAACAGAATAAAGTGCTAAGAACAGAACTGTGAAGTATGCCAGTATTTAAGGTGAAATCAGAATAATTCACCTTGAAAAGGTCTGAGAAGGGCTGGCAGGAGCCATGGAGTATTTCCTATGAGGTTGTGATCAGGCTGTCAGCACTGCAGTGAGGTCAACTGACATATGGATTCAAATGCACTTAATTTCGTCAGAGTATCATGGATGGGACCCAGATTGCATTTATCTGAAGTTAGAAAGTGTTTTTGAGGACAGAATACATGCCTTTTGTTTTTCTGATATTATGTTTCTGTTCACTTCTGAAGAAGATTACACTATTGATGGAAATACTTGGGGGTGTGAGTGGATTCACACTCAAGTTCTAAGCTAATACTTTAGCTGAAAATTAATAAAATGTTTAGAGAAGAAATTGAGAATCAAAATCAGGTCATGATCTTACGGTTCGTGACTTCGAGCCCTGCATCAGGCTCTGGGCTGACAGCTCGGAGCCTGGTGCCTGCTTCAGATCCTGTGTCTCCTTCTCTCTCTGATCTTCTCCCACTCTCACTCTGTCTCTATCTCTCAAAAATAAATAAATATTAAAAAGAGAATAATATATGTGTGTGTACGTATGTACATAGACATACATATATATTCTTTTGAGGAAGCACTGTCTCTTGTGGGGTATTATTCCTTTCTACAGAAAGCTTTCAGAAGTGAGGGTTTTGTGGTTGGTCCTTCTGAAAGTGTTTTGTTTTATTCCTCACCCCCATCCCTGCTGGGGAACCAAGAATGCTATTATTGCTATTAAGAATATTGTTTTACTTTGTGACTCTGTGTGACAGCTGGTCATGATTATTTTATTAGTTTACTGATTGGCCCAACTTAAACCAAAAAGAAAGACAAGGTCAGCAAATGTGATAGCTGTTAGGGCAGCTGTCACTTCTGGTAATCTGACCATAACCTTTTTTTCCCCTTTTCCTCCAGTGTTTTTCTAAGCAGATTTATAACAAAACCAAGAGAGTAAATAGAAATTGTTGCCCTCCACAAGATCAGGACCTGGGATAATGGTTTCATAATCAGGATTTATCAGTGGTGTCTGGAAAACATATTTTAAATGTGTATGTCCAATAACAATGTGCCCACCTTTATTTTGGGAAAACTTCTTGTGAGGTGTGCACATTGACTGACTCTTTAGGACTCCCTAGAAAGCCAGATTAGAGACTGAGCAGACATAGCCCTTTGGATTTGCTTCTTGTATTCCTCTATTAATTAGTTGGAAAGTTCTCCACAAAATGTGGGCCAAATGCAGAACATGAGGGACTGCCAGTAAAGCAGTGAGCTTTCTAAAAGACGAGAATCAAAGCACAGTTTCTATTTTGGCCTCAAATGGGTCTGATCAAATGGATTTTCTGTGTATAGATTTTATCTTTCACTTGTTGACCAGTGTTTCAAGGCCCGGCAGTACAAAAGGAACACTTCAAATCTCAGGCTGCAAATTATCAAATGTGTAATTGTTTTTTCACAGAGATGAAACTAATCTTCTAAACTATTAGAAATTTTACTTGTTGACAGATCCCATTCTTAAAAGACTAGTAAACAGCATGCTATTGAGGCTTATGGGTGAATATGGTGGATTTGAAGGTATAAGTCATAAAACACAAAAGTTCAAATCAGTTTTGAATACTTTAGTAATGTAGTAAAGTAATGACTTTAAGTTATGTGTTTTTCACTTAGGATTAAAAATAACATGTAGTAAAGCATATCATTGGAGTTCAAATTAACATTTCCCTCTTTTCCTTTCTTTGAGCAG